TTGTTATTTGACACCTTACCTGGTTCATTGATCACATTTACATTATATATGAATGCCAACAGAAAATATCTCCTCAAAGTCATAATGACCTGCTCCATCCTTTAACCTCTAATCAGACAGTGTAATTGCAAACATAATCCACGAAGTATGAACATATGAGATATATATATTTTAAAATCTACAGCAAAGATCAGTTAGTGTTTTATAACATCTTTTGAGTTGCTGTCAGTCTGAGAACCCAACCCAAAAGCCTCTGGATTTAGCCTTGCCTGGCAACTGTCAATTTTTCAGGACTTTAATCAATTATCAGTTGCTGGCTTTTCAGATATCCTAGATATACTTAGGACTTCCTATTCCATCTGCATTTTTCCCCCCACATATGTCAAGACTGCATTGCAGTGCCTCAAAAACCAGAAAGCTTCCAATACCAAAAATCGTGTCCCTTGCTTACACATTCTGCATATTCATACAGAAATCTTGCTTAAACGTGTTCTTACCTGTCCATCCTGGCCAACATGCACCTGGTGGATTTGGAGATTTCCCTGAAATTGAGAAATGTCATGTCAGTCAGCAGCCCTATGTTTTAATATAAAGACTTTGGTTTAACTACTTTAAGAAGCTGAAATCACATTAAGTTAAACAAGTCATTAAACTATCTAAGCCAATCAGATATGCAGTGTGAAAAGGTCAGCATGATAAGTTCCTGCCAGTGTTTGTACTTGAGAGGAGGTGAATGGAACATCCATGTATTTTCATTTCTGGATAGAGTTCGACTCCCTGTTAACATAAAAAGAAATCTGTTTGCTCTGACATAAGTGCATGATTGTCTCAGATCGAGATATAGTGGCTATTAGAAAATCTCTAAACACCCACAGTGATATCAACAAGACCATTTTGCAAAAGGATATTATACAAGACACATTTAGCCATCCTCAGGTCTCAGCTGTTTCTGCTCTAGCTAATTTTATCTCATGTATATATGCAATACTGTCTGAGCTGCCATATGGCCAGAGAGCAGTGTAATCTCTCAAACAGCTCATTTCCTTTTTAAGAACACTAAAACCAATCCCTTTGATGAAAGGGGCCCGTTCCTAATGAAAACATATTCTGTGAGTGGCAGTTGGGAGAAGTGGGATTTTGTTGCTAAGCTTTGAACTCCAAAAAACAAACAATAGCATGGAATACGAAAGAGAAAAGACAGGGGGAAAAAATCTGGGCTCAGCCACAAAGTGCAGGAAAGGCTTTAGTGTTTTCTGCCTCCAATTTACTCAGTCTCTCTCCTTCAATTGTGCATTTCTTCCTCTAAGTGTCCTCTAGGAGTAGAACCGAATAGGAAATTAGAAAAACACTTGGTTAAGGTGTCAATTGCTTTTGCAAAAATGCCGAGCTGTCAAGCATGTGTGGCCTGAATCATATACAGTATGTGATTACATGTATATATGTGTACACAGACTGGCGCCTTGAAATAAATCTCTCTCCCACATCCTTTAAAATCATTAGCAAAGATGTTGATGCGGAAATTCCTCTTTAAAAGTCGGGGTGGTTTGGAGTTAGAGTTTGATTTCAACTGACAGGCTGTGTGCGCGCATGCAAGGATGTGTGGTGGGGAAAATAAGCCACCTGGGCATTACATGAAAACAAAATTCAAAACCTTGTGCATAATCTGGCAGATAGCATATATAAACAATAAGACGTTCACTGAAAAAACTTTACTTTGGCTAAAATTCACTAATGTCTAAAACGTCTAGTGCAACACCAGACAAGCAGCTAGCTGCCAGCTAATTGTGTGAGCAAAACAAACATACAGGTTCTTGATAAACTTGTTTAAATTGCTTTGTAGAAGTAGACTAGTTTAGAGACTACAATAAGCTGCTTGTGAGATTACAAAATTAAACAGCCATTGTAAAATCAATGTAATCAGGACAATTATTCCACACTTATGCTTTCTTATAAGACATTGTATATTATGCTAATCAGCAGTTCTCTTGCCGTAAGAAGTTGGCACTGAATAGATGTAATGTCGTGCAAAAAATTCATTTTTCAAGTATTCCTTTGTTTATAGTTAAACAAATGCAGTGGAAATCATACCAGTCCTACCATTGACTAGCTAAAATGAATAGAAGTGGTTGTTTTTGGTTGTTAATCAAAACAGAAGATTCTTCCAGCTCTAACAAATATTGTGGATAATTTCAGATAGCTCTTTAAACAATTCAAATCACAAACATTAACTAAATTCAAACAATACAAATTAACATTGTGAACTTCCCCCACAATAACATACACAGAATTGATTTTCTACCCCCGAAACTTAACTCTGCTTAAATTTGACTTAACTATAAACAATAAAGAAAGGTAGGTATCAGCAGACGGCTGACTACAACCACTGGCACCATCGTTCTACATAACAGTCATATTCTTTTTAGATACATGTTTAGTGAAGTGAATTTAATAAATCTAGAGAAGTGACTCAGGGTGATTGTTTATTTTTCTTTTCTATTTTACAACCCCTCTTTCACGGGCGCACTTGCACACTAACCTCACTGTCCTGTGTGATCTGCACCTCCTCTCCTTGTGGTACCTGGGCTATGTGCAACTGCCCCTGTGGAATCTGAGACACACAGATGAAGATGAGGTATAGCTGAAGCTAGAACAATTTCATGAATATGATTAAAAAAAAAAAAAAAAAAAGTTAAAAGGTATGTTTATATAATCTTCATAACCCACAATAACAAAATTGCACACAGTGGTTAGAAAGTCTTTTTAAGTTAATTCATCCTCTTTGGGTTTTCCCAGTCATCATTACTGTAGAACAGGGGTGTCGGACTCCAGGCCTCGAGGACCGGTGTCCTGCAGGTTTTAGATATCAGCCTGGGTCAACACACCTGAATCACATGATTAGTTCATTACCAGGCCTCTGGAGAACTTCAAGACATGTTGAGGAGGTAATTTAGCCATTTAAATCAGCTGTGATGGATCAAGGACACATCTAAAACCTGCAGGACACCGGCCCTCGAGGCCAGGAGTGCAACACCTGTGCTGTAGAGTGATAACAAAAAATGTAAAAAAAGAAAAAGAAAGAAAAAAAAAAGGAAAAAAACCCAGTTGTGACTAAAGCTTTCAAACCTAATGTTAAAGCTAAAGAAAAATAAGGAATTGACCTTCGATCCAAGATCAAGATCTACTGGAGATCACAGCCCGGGTTTCATCAGTAGTACGAAGGTTGAACAAGCGACGACTTTTAAGTATTTCTGTGTTCACTTACAGTGGGTGTGTGCATGATTTAGCGCTTGCATTTTTTAAGAAGGCTTAGGGTCCATGGAGTGCACAAATGCCTTATGTTACTATTTTATAGGACAATTGTTGAATCTATTATCTGTTACAGCATCTCTACATGGTTTGGCAACCTTTCCATCAAACTCTGACCCAAAATTCAAAATGTGAAAAAAAGGGATGGAAAAAAGGTACGGGGTACCAAACTGTAAGTTAAATAGCTTTAAATTTTCTCTACTGCCATTATTGATCAAATTACTGAATGCTAATAGATGGAATTGTAAATGAGAGTTTGTATGCATCTGCTAGCTTACATGACGTGTTTCCCTGGCTTGTCCAAGGTAAATTTCTCCCAAGGGAGACACAATAAAGGCTAATCTAATGTAATCTAATCAAATTATTTGCTAAACAACTAAGCTGCTCTATTTTGGGAAATATAATTTGATGATGATAAATTACATTGAGTTACTATGGAATGATGGTTGCAATGCTCAATCACTCTTTGCAAGTATTAATTTCTCCCACTGCATCAGGAGTACTAATAAATTTTAGGCTCAACTGTAGTCTTTAATACTCAGATGTAAGGTTGGATGGTCTTCTCTACAGGACTAAGTTATCATATTGAGAAGGTGTTGCAATCCCTCTCTCACTCAACAATGTGAATCCTTGAGACCATTACTTGCACAATCCTACTCAGGCAGGCAAGTAGGAAGAACTCCTGACAATCTTTCTCACCCACCTTTCCCTGAAAGCACCTCCTGCCTGTCTACCCTGTATTTTTTATCATCTATCTGTTCCCTTCCCAGGGAAGTGGTCTGTCACGAGTACTGCCAAAACTATGCATCATGTATAGTATGATGTAAACCAGAAACAGCAGAAATACTCATCACATTGTATCCACATAGGCTTATCAAACCTGTACAAATGAAGTTTTAACACTAGAAAAAGAAAATATAAATTAGTTCCTTCTTGAATAACCCATCAGGACTCTGAATATATTGACATTGTGACTCTTGGTATCTAACTCTGATCATCTATTCTGGGTGATTTCAGAGCTGAGGGAACTAAAAGATCCAGTCACTTCCTCTATCCGCCTACCTATAACACTGTACTGGGCCTGAACGCAACCTCTGACCATAGCATCTGTTCATGTACATCCCATGAGTCACTGGTTCACTGACATAATTTGCACTATCCTCCAGAATGCTGTAAGGGTAATTGTAGTGGGTGGTGTGACCCATTCTAGTACACTATGAACTCAGCGCTGAGGGCCTCTTAGATAAAGTACACACATGACAAAGAAAAGAACAGAGATATGAGCAGAAAGATTTTCTTCTGTTGTGTTTGCCAATCAATAAAAATGTTTTCTTATGAATTTAAAGAGAGTTGGAAATAAAAAAAAATCTCACACTCACCACCTGAACTTGTCCATCTTCACCAATACGGTGGAACTGGACCTGCTGATTGGCCAATGTATAGTGCAAGGTCTGTTGAGTGGCAGTCTCAATGTGAGCCGTTTCTTCTGTGATTCCTTCCTCTAGATAAGAAAAGCAATAAGATTAGTGATGCACTCATGTACACAGTAAAAACAGGTGAGAAATAGCTTTCAATGGATTCCAGGATACATAATCAAATTCTAATAAGAAATTCTGGATCATCCTAGGCCATCCACAGAATATTACGGTGTTTAAAATGTATCAGACACTTAAATATACATTAAAGACTCCAGAGAATCATCAAACAGATTCATGGTGTAGCAGCCAAACTCAGGGTCTGGGGTTTGTTATCAGAACAGCAGTCCGAAACCCTGACCAGACCTGGCCATCATCCCACAGAAATGCACAACAGCATCTACAGAGATGTCAAATAGATATCAGTACCCTCATCCAAAGTGGAGCCTGACCGCAAAATAAAATATCACTTTCTCATTTTCAGTGTTTAAATATAAAGTAATAAAAGACCTATTTACAAGAAGTGACATTAATGAGAAAAGTAGTCGGATTGCTTTTTTAAGCATGAAAACAAAGAAATTTGCAACATGAGGAAGAACTCTTGCTTGGGAAATTTTGGACTCTACATGATAATTGATTATTAAATATTCCAGTTCTGATTTATGCAAAATGACTAATTTGTGTTTGTGATTTGGATGCATTTGCAACTAATATTTTGCATTGTACATTCTGGGGTGTTTGTGGCTCATAAAGGCAGGGCCTGACAACCCACACCTAATTTGTGCTCATGGGTTATTTGGGTTTCCCCTGCAGTCTTACATTTCTCTGGCCAGAGGTGAGAGGTTTTGACTCACAGGGAGGGAAGGACTGCAGGCATTGTGTGCAGATTACAACCATCTGCAGAAACTGCTTTTGGGTTCCGGTCTTGAAATGGCTTTCATGTAGCTGAAAATAACTAGCTAATAAATAGCTAAAATAAGATGAAGCAAGGTACTCTGTGTCTCTGTGGTTGTTGACTGTTTTCACTCCTGCCAAAAAGCAGTTTTAAAAAAATATGTGGAAATTGATTTAATTCACCCTTTGCTGCAAATAAGGCTATCTATCCCAAACCATTATAATAGTAGTGTTTTTTTCAATTCTCAATTTTGGATTCCCAAATTTTCCTACTAATATTTGCTCCTGCAAAACACTGAAGTGGGATTCATGGTCCTATATAGTCATCCGTTTGCATTGCCCTTAACCAGTGCACTCGCTGGTTGATGGCATTGGCTGTTGTGATGGCAACCCCCAAACCACACGGTGAACATGATTTGGAGCAGTCAAGCTGAAGGGGCTATATGAGGCTTCATTAGTCTTTCGGACTCTAACCACTGCCGACAGGTACCGACAGGCCAAGGAGAGTGTGGCTCTGGCAGAAGCTGAAGCAAAAACTTCAGTAAGAGGGGAGTTTGATGAGGCCATGGAACAAGTCTTTCAGTCGGCCTTGAATTGATTCTGGCAAACCATGAGGTGAGTCAAAAGGAGAAAACACTGCTCTATCGTTCCCTAGGAAAGTCTATGCCAGCGTACTAGAAAGGAGAGTCCATCCGTTAGTCAAACCTTGGATTCAGGAAGAACAAACCAGTTTTCCTCCTGGTCAAAGAACTCTTTATCCTTTGGAGGATACTGGAGGGTGTAAAGGATGCAAAGGAGTCTATAAGTCTATACGAGTTCTGGGTAGTGAACAAAATAACAAGATCACAGATAAAAGTGACAAAAATAAAAGTTCCCCTAAAGAGTGGCTGGCCCCTTAGCTAGCCACTCAGGTTGAGAAGTTCAGTCACTTTGGACAGACTCAGAGTAAAGTACTCTACACACTGAAAGGATAGATCGAAACTCCAGTAGAGGTGGTTTAGGCATGTGATAAGTATGTCTACTCGCTGGAACAATGGGGTGATTACACCTCTTGGCTGGCCTAGGAAAGCCTTGAATGAACTGGAGGAGATGGCTGGGGAGAAGGAGACTGGGCTTCTCTGCTTAGACTGCTACCCCTGGTTGGATGGATGGATATAGAGATGCACTTTGTGCAGTCCTACAAAAAGTCAACATTGCCTGAATGCAATAACGCTAAGAGTAGGTAAAATGGTGATTAGTTAAAAAGCTGGATTGAACAGAAAAGAGAACGGAAGATTCACTTCCAAGAGAAAGACACACAAGAAAATCACAGATTAGAAAAAACAAAACAGAGACGATGTCCCCATTAGGAGTTTGGACACCATTACAAAATGTAGCCAAGGACCTGCAAAATGTCTAGCATCTACATATTGCCATTCCAGGAACTTGGTGAAAATCCTGAATATTAGCAGGTGCAATTAATTTCAAACATTTTGAAAATAAGGTAGGTGTGCCCAAATGAACTATTTGATGTGATCTAAATAATAGCAACCATATAAAACGTGCCAAGCATCATCCAGAATCTGCATGGAGAATGTGCGTGGCACAAGACACAGAGGGTGGGTTTATTACTCACCAAATAAAAATGCATACATATTTACAGAGAACAACTGGTTTAGTCCATCTGTTGACCCATCCTCAAACCAAACGTGACCTCATACTTTTGCTCAGACATACTGTGGCCATCACCAGTATTTACAAATCGAGATTGTGTGACTGCAGAGCTCTTTTAAAGATGAATCCAGTGGTTTCACTTTCTGCTCCACTGACACTGACAAACAGAAAACTAGTTTTCTAACTGGCCTATAAATAAAAACAAAGAGTGTGCAACAGATGTCTCCTTCTGCTGCAGTTTACTTTTACAATTTTGCCTCTACTTTGATCAGAGAATAATTACAGAAAACTAGCTAAATTTATCTCCACATTAAGACAAATGAACGTGTACCAGTGATGTTAGAAACATTTATACTTATGTAACAAGCCTCTGGTAAAAAAAAACAAAAAAACAACCTGTACTTTACCTGTGACTGTGTTGCGAGGTGTTCGTTTAGAGAAGCTCTTGACAGCCAGACTCTGACCACGTTGCTTGCGTCTCCAAGCAGTGCGACACTTTGAGTCAATGCTCTGCTTGATCCGGTACCAGTCTGATTCGGTGATGCCAAATTTGTGGAATAAGTGGCCTGTGGGAGCATGAAGAGGTCAATGTTACCTAAGGTTTAAATCAACAACCTAAAATTAGTGAAATATTCCTTACTTCATTTGTCTCGTTCAGTCTCTTTCAGTACTGATGGGAATAAAATATTTTGCTTTTAGCTTTGGTGACTTTCTGTACACTTAAATATTAACACATTCAACTGGTGGCAAGAGCATGAGCAGATTGCTCATTACTTAAGGCTTAATTCTTAACATTTTTAGAAGACTACAGTCATATAGCTTATACTTAAAAAAAACACATTAGGAATTTTTCAGATCCACGTGCAGAAAGGGGGGGGGGGGTTAATAAATACCTAAATAAATAAAATCGCACTTGATCCAAAACATGTAATACTGCAGATTCATCCTGCTGAAACTGTGTGCTCGATGTGAACGGCACACCATATTCATACACATTTTACACATCAGGTGTGTAAAAGCCCCTGATTTGCAATTGGTAGTTACTCTGTAGGTAAGGTAAATTGTCCTTTCTTTTTTGTTGTTCTCCTCTGAATGGGAACCATACATAGAACAAATAATGGCTCATACTTCAGTGACATCACTCTTCCTCATTAGCAAATGAACACACCCTGGAAATCCTCCCTATTTTAGATAACACTTTATATAGCTCAAAATGACTGAGCAAGTCTATAAACTTCTCAGAGAAGTGTTAACAGAGATCAGGGCAGAGGGTCATTTCCCCAAAGACTTTCGTAGAACAGGAGCCACATATATCGCCCCCTGGCAGCCCAAAGATAGAATGCAGGTTTAAGACACTGGGTTTGGTTTGACTTTTTCATTTTCCCAGAAGCAACATTTACCTTTTACACTCTCTTTGGCCTGAACAAATCTACATGTAACTACACACCCATGCTGTTGAGAGGAAATAGAGTCTGATCGGCCAAACTACAAGGCAGCAAAAAGGCATGATGGTGTGTGCTGTGGGGATACTTCTTTCTTACCTCAGCACAGCTGGCCAGTCATGGTGTGACTAGGTTGTGATTGTTGGATCTTTTTTGTTTTGCCTTGTCCAGACACTTACAGCAAAAGGTTACCAAGACATCCCTTAGCCAAGTGGACAAGGTGTGGGAGGAGGGGATTTCTGACTATTTGACCATCTTACATGCAGTTCACAAAGAATATTAATTCTGCTCATGTCTACTTGCACCAATGGGGGATACAGTGGGTACATCAGAACTCTGGAGCATAGGTTACAGATAACTGAGACCCTTTTAACACTGTAAGAAGGGCCTATAGTTATATAAATAAATACACTACCAGTGTAACCCTGACTCCACTTAATCAAGAATCAAAGAGTTTTTTGCACTGAGAGTGACTCCATTAAGATCTTTCTACCAGACATGTGCTTGTCGTTTAGAGTCTGGTATGTTCTGAAATGTGTTGCACATTAATGCATGTGTGCAATGATGAATGGATGTTGTTGTAACCCGTCTTGGGAATACAGAGTGCAGTCTATTTTCTGTGTTTTACTCAGTGCTGCTTTGTACGAAATGCGGGATGAAACGTGGAAAGGTCTCAGAGAGTTCATTTATTACTTAAAATCAAAAACTGAAAAAGTCAAACCCTGACAGAGTGAAATTATTAGTATATAAGAAACCATGAGGTAAATAGTAGTTACCAGATGCTCTCTGTGCACTTGACAGGGGCTAACTTTACAAACACTCCCAAAGAACATATTCCAAAGCCCATGGTAGCATGAAGCCCTAAACTCCTAATACTTTCTGAAAATGTATCAGTACCTGCAGCCTACAAATAAAATGTTATGGTATCTCTACATGGTTTGGCAACCTTTCCATCAAACTCTGCATGACAAATAGCATGTCAATCAGCTTGTCATGGAAGTATGTTCACTACCAGACCTACCACTGCTCTGTCAAAAACAAATAGTCCCCCAAAAATTACCAGTATTAGATGGTTATGTTATCAAGACTCACAGCGGATGCCGTAGATCATAAGTGGGTCCAGCTGCTTCTTTCCATGTTTGCCCTGCCCAGAGAGATTTGACATGGCCTGGACCTCACGGTGGAATAGGTAGTCCAGCAGCGTCAGCGCCATTTTCTCTGCTGTGCGACAGTTTGTGCTGATATGAAGCATATCAGCTGCAGATATTGGACAGCGAACTCGCATCTCTGGGTTGTTCTCATCTCCTAACCAGGTGCCGGCTGGATAATCATCTAAAGAACAGAGGAGGAACGGCTCTTCAAAGAGTTGCACAGATTGAGAAATATTTTACAGCAACAGCCACTGAGATAATTGATATAATATGACAGCACCCCCATGTGGCAGTAAAAAGGAAGTGAGTGAATTTGTGTAAAACTTAGTATAACTGTTATAAAAAAAACAGAATATGTGGTTTGGTCACAGTGTATGCTAGCTATTAAGTAAACCACATGACCAATGCATTAGGCATATGGTAACATCTAACTTGCTGACTAACAGAAATTTTTATAATGGTAACCCAAAGTTGCAAATGAATGAATAATAGTTTGCCTTTGAAGGTAACCAAGAAATTCAGATCCAATAAAAATTATCCAACCAGCAAGCACAACAATGGGACAATGTGGACTTCGTTTAAGTTTGCATAGTTAACTATTTTCTCTTGGTTTCAGACAGAAAAACACAGTAATGCAACTCAAGGCATGAATAATGCCTAACAGCATCTGAGGCAGAAAAACAGGGAAATTAACACATCAGCACAGTTTGCCATCTATTTAATATGGAGATTAGCTGAAAGAGTCACGTTAGACACATTAAACAACTAAAAACTGAACAAAACATTCAAAATCAATTACTGAGAGGTCTAAAAATGTCAGGGGGTAATTTACTGCAAGTGACTTTTCCTTAGAGTTGATGCAGATGAACATGTTGAGCACTGTGTACTTTTAGTGCATAAGTGTTTTTGCTATTAGTGGGATTGCAGATGGGACATTGTTGAGGCTTGTTGCTGTGAAGTCGGCAAGAGATGAGGAAGTCATTTGGAAAGAAAAAAAAAAAAGGCTGAAAAACCCCTAGCTTTTTCCCCCCCTGCCACAATCAGTAATGGTAGTGCTCACCATATGTGACTGTCACTTTCTACTGTAGAAAAATTGTGATACAGAAATTTTGAACACATGGCAGAACTAAGTTTGAAAATGAGTAACATGGGCATTAAAAACAACCTATGGCTCTATGTAAGTAATATACTTGTCCTTTTCTAATTTTAAGAAGAAACTAAAGATATGTGCCTTGCTGTGCCTCTTCACCAGCGTGGTCATACCTTCTGCATTGAGTGTGATGAGAGTGACATTTTGGCCTTTCTGTGCATTGCTTGATTGACCACCGTTGGAAACACAATCACTGGCCTCTGAGCCACTCTCCTGTTCCTCTTGACTCTCTTCTGGGCCAGGGACCTTTACTAGGATGGTGTTGTGTCGCCTCCTGGTCACTGTGCTGCAAAGAAACACAATGCATTGACAGATCTTGTTTGGCCAGAAAAACAAAATAGGTACACTCAGACTATTAGCTCAACTGAAAAATTGTTATAAGGCAGTAACTTGACATAACTTGTGTGGTGGTGTGTTTGGACAGATATAACATACAGTATAATAAGTGTGCCACTCACTTGCTAAGCAGGTTCTCCAGAGGAGTGTCTTCTGGACTTGAGGGCTTCGGCGGTTCACTGCTCACAATAACATTTGTTTGTGGGACAACACTGAGAGCAAAACAAATAGTTTTCATTTTCATTGAACTTTTAACCTGCCTGACTGACTGGTGGCCAATATGGCACCAACATTTAGAGCTTACCATCGCACTTTGTTCCAAGTCTGAGTGGCCCCTTGAGGGGATCCTGCAACCATAGGAACCTGAATGGGACTTCTGGCACATGGTGCCATGCTATCCAGTTTGCGTGCAAGGTTTTTGCATGCAGCATCCAGAGACTGTAGCTTTGACTCAATTCCCTCCAGCCGCTGGCTGATTGACCCAGTGAATGATACCAACAAGTTCTGAAAAAAATTCAAAAGCAAAATTAAGCTCTACCAACCACATATAAATGTATGACCAGTAAACAGTATATGGTTTATAAAGAGCTGCTACCTTAATAAGAGCGATATCTTGATTGCTATTGTTATTCTCCTGGCCGTTGCTTAATTTCCTTCTTTTCTTCTGAGACCTTTCTTCATCATCTTCATGATTGTCCATCATGTCTGCCATGAATCAAAGGAAAAGACACCCTCAAAACAACACACCAAACCATCCTGTTAGATTTTACTTCAAGAGTGAAGGTGTGCTTCTACACAGGAGAAAAGTACTAACTGTCTGCTTAATCCTAACCTTATATTATAAAAAGAGTCTAATGACCTTTAAATTGCAAAGGAATCTTACCAGTACGATTTTCCTGGTTAAAGTCCTCCACTGTTATTTGCACAATTTCATTCAGCTCTTGTTCAGACATTGTTCACCGCTGAAATGCAGGAAGAACATGTTCAACTTAAAAAGACATTAAAATATTCATTTACTGATATGTTTATATAAATTAAAATATCTTTTTGCTATGTCTGTTTCTATTTACACATTAGCAGTGGGCAATATGATTGTAGGGAATTTCTGTTTTCTTTGTATTACTGTATAGAATAGAATACAATAGAATAGAAGAGAATAGTCCTTAATTGTCATTGTACATGTACACCGAAAATATGGGTGCTCCATTCCAACTGCACAGGAATAAAATATAAATAGTAAGACAACAGGAATAAATAGTAAAAAGGAGAGATAAAACAATTAGAGGAATATATACAAATATAAGAGAAAGGCACACATTGGAGAACAGAGTGCTTGGAAGTAGTTTAAAGGAATTGGTCTGAGTATAGAGTCCTTATGTGAGTGGCCTGAGTGATGAGAGTTACTCGGACCGCTGAAATGCAGTTCAGATTGGTGAGGTGCGGGGGGATAGTTTTTGTTAACAGTCTGAATAGCCCAGGGGAAGAAGCTGTTTGTGAATCCAGAGGTGTGGGACCTGATTCAACTGAGGCACGGACCAGAGGGCAGCAGGTCAAACAGGTTTCTCAGTAGTGGCCCCTGCGTACCAAACATCCAGGCAGTAGGAGGACACGCTCTCCACTGAAGAGTGGTAGAAGGCCAGCAGCAGCAGGTTCTGGTTCAGGTTATTCTGCCTCAGGACACAGAGAAAGTGCAGCTACTCTTGGGCCTTCTTTACCAGGGCATTTGTGTTGTGGTCCAGGTGAGATCAGTGGACATAAAGTGCTGTGAGGCAACTGTTGTTGTGATATGGTACCATTTTAAATAACGCTCAATTGAATTGGATTGAAACTCTTTTGTGCCATGTAATAGTGCCGTGCAGAGATAAACCAACATTAGGTATATTAAAAAAAATCATGCACAGACGCCTGTGGCTGCAGGAAGAATCCTACTGTGTGTGTATTTCCCTTCACTGTAAGCAGCAGTGAAGCTGCCTTTGACATTCTACTCACATTTTAGGCATAACAACAGCCCTGGGCACCTTCTTCAGTTTGAAGTCTATTTTCTTCTGTTTTGCATGCAAGAGAAGTATCGTGTATTGGACTCTTAAAGTAGCCAAAATGTAGGTAACCACAAAACAGTGGGTGAAGACAATGACCGAGGCCTGCAGCTGCAGCTGCATGCACACTGCTTCCACTAAATACACTAAATAACATGTGTAGCAGAGTGTGAGAAACAATTTAACTAAAGAGGCAGTGTTCTTCTCAAGACTGTTAAAACAGTAATGGAATAAACAACCCACTTTCTAAAGGTTTACGAACTGATGATTAGGTAATAATGCTACATAAATAACAACCATATTCCTTTAGTCTCAAAAGCTGACTTTGTGTTGGCTGCTAAAGAACTACTACCCCTGGCAGAGAAGAAATGCAAAACCAAAAAAAATGATTTGAGCATACAGTGTGCCTCAGCTTTTCAGATCAATCCATCATTTGAAACATTCAGTTACAATTTACTGGCAGTGGTCAACATCCTCAAGTCAAGTATTCATGACAGGATTTCCGAAAAAGGCATTCGTGCCATTTATCTTTTACATAAAGTCTCAAGTTTTCATGACACATACTGTGCTTGTATCTGATGTTCTACAATTTATGCTCAAATACTTGGTTGGGTACGTTTGTGTGTGTGCAGTTAATCATTATTTTTGAAAAAATTAATATAATGTTATTAAAGTATTCGAATACCTTAGCAGTATTCGTGTTGTGTGCACCCCAAGGTTTACTTATGTAATCTCAAAGGTCCTCTTCCATTAAGTGTAGCTTTATATAATAACCACTATGTTATCAATAGTACAACAATAAAGGTTCTCTCCTTCAGTACAAATGTTTGACATGTTTAGTTAAGTTTTATCTTTTCTTGTCCTCACACAGGAACTCCATATTCTTAAACCAAGTACAACTCTGGGCTCTATAACAAAAGATAGATCTCTACAAAAATGCCTGTGTCCTGAGTAACACTTCAAAGTGGCAGTTACTACGACGGAATATTAGGAGCACATTAAAAGAAAAGCAATACTGTTGATCGTTTTAATAATAAAGTAGTGGAAACGTGGAGATCATCATTGTTGTGTCAAGACAAACTGCCATATTTTCTATACCTGTACAAAAATCCTTTGTTTAGATGAATTAGTGAAACAAATTAATTAGCCTTTCTGTGATACAACATACATCCTCTTCATTGGACAAGAGTGGAACCATCAACAACCTTGCATCTGTCCATTACCAGCCATTTAATTTTGTACAAACCCACTCTTCTTAATTTGTGTTTTTGTCTATCTGACCAGATGCATCTTTCTGCAGCATATTTTTGACTTATCACTTTATACTTATCAAGAGATGAGAAATCATATGCTTCCTTGTTACTAAAACCGATTCTGAAGCACGGTTTCCCTAACCCAGAGACTATGGCAACTGTGGCAGTTTGTTTTGTGTAATCGCCACATATAATTTTTCTATTTTGACTTTAATCTCAAAATGATCGATAATATTTTTTTCTTAATGTGGTCCTAATACTCATACATACTCATACAGTTAGGGTTACACTTTTAATAAGCTACCTTTACACAACAAATATATGACAAAGTAACTCCCACAAAACTGTCAAATTCAGTAACCCAAGAAAGATCTAGCACTTACACACTCCAAACTAATTTATTTTTGCAAGTTGCAGTAGAGTATTTGCAACTTCTGATCCGTGTATCAGTTCACTTGAATACATGTTATAAGTTGTCCTGTTTTGAGCCTTTATGTATTGCCAAATATTGAAGAAAAAAAATCCTGTATAATTCATCGAATTTTAGCTGCTGCTTTTCATTTGTTGCATTGCTTTGTTTGCCTACTTTCAAGGTTTCCTTGGTCTTTGTGTCATAACTGCACAATTGCTTTAGTGATTTGCCTACATTTTGGAAACAAAATGTTGGAGCTGTAATGCAAATGATAACACCAACACATTTTTAGCGCAGTTGTGGAACAAATTATTAAAAACAAAAGTATTACTCCAGAAATGCACAGCACCTCAATTAAAATGTGTGAGAGAAGGATCCATCTATTGTAAATACAAGGCTTATATCCTCATTACAGCCACGAATAAACTAACAATCATGTTGTGTGTATGAGAAATGATATCCAGAGTCATGATCTCGCAGCTTTGTCTTCCTGAGTCATTTCCTCGTTTCCCAAACATGGCAAAAAAGCATAGATGCATAAGGGAAAATTACAATAATCAAAGTATGACATTTTTATGTGGGCCCGTCTCTACGTAACTAACAAAAGCATGGATTGCAGCTTAAGAGTAATAGTTTACGCCATTACTTTACATTTAAAAAAAGAATAATAAATGTGTGTTTTGTCCTTAAACTTACACAAAGGAAACTTTGTTACTGAAGACACACACCATTTATGTAAGAGGGTTTATTTGAATGCTATGCCCAACACAAAATGAGCGAAAATCTGTTTTAGAGTAGCTCAACTAAATTAAGCCCTATGTAAAACGGTCTGAAATTGCAAAAAGCTCCTGGCGCTTTTTTTAAAGCAGGCTACCGTTACCTGTGATAGTGGCTAGCTATAAGGAAACGCGGTCGTACACAGCTGTTTCAGGCTATTTTCTTTAGACTTTAGCTGCTTAGCCTAGATTACTACAGTTTAGCTTACAAATATAAAGAAATGGCACGGAGCTGGTACACGTCTACTAGCCAAACTAACGAGCTTTAGATTGGTTAGTTAACTGGGCGGGGGTCTGACTATGCTAAACACAGGCGAATAAACGGAGGAAAACTAACTTGGAGCATCTATTTGTTATGTATCTATGTAATGCGACTAGACATACGGTTCAAAACTACTGTACTTCAGATATTTTATTTGTTTTTCATTAGTTAATTAGCGTCAGCAGAATCATAACTAGCAGCTAATGTTAGCTGCCGCTACAAAATCGGATTTGAAAGCTTGCATGCTAACTTAAAGGAGACGCTATTTAAGCTAGCGTGGTAGTTAGCATGCTAGTTGGGCCTAAAGGCCTTTGGAGCGTAATGCAAAATTCGTTTAATGCTGAAGCAATCGCTAAATTAAATGTGATTTTGATGCAGCTTCTCTCCTCATTCTCGCACACAACACATGTACCGTGTAAGATTGGGTTATATTACCGTGTGAATGGTGAATTCTCGTGTTGTTTGTAGAGCTTCCGATAATGGCGTCGTTCCTCGCGAGAGATGAGACCTTGCCTTCGTGTGCTTCACACGGAGGTTTCCTCAACGCTCATTCAAGGGAGCTCAGTCTGCAGGAGACCGCTTGTCACCGCTGTAGACGCCACTCACAGACTGCACGATTGCTTCTTTTCAAGCTGTTTTATCTGAATCTGAAAAAAGCCGAGTTCCATTAAATTGTACAGTTTATTCGACTACTCATCATGATACCCCATGAAAATAAAGCACAGTATCTTAATACAACCTCTGTGGCAAGCACTGAGATTGGATAAAGGGATAACATGTTTGTTTAACCCTGTAATTTTTAAACGTCCACAAAACGTTTCTTACATCCATGGTAATCCAACTCCTCAGGATTGTTTGTTATCTTGATTTAATCCTAGTCTTTGTTTGCATCAGTAGATACCTTATAGAGTATATATTACTGTATTTTACTATTTTGGTTTCCCAGTGATTGGAGTAAATGGGTTTATTTTCCTCTACATTGTTTGCCCTTTTATGTAGATGATTTGGCACAAGAAATTAAGCAGGCCACTAACTATTGTTCACAATGTAGATGACTCTGATGCTTATTTCTGAGACAGATAATCAGCAAAAATGATAAAATACAACAACAAAAACAAAGCAAATTCAGTTGAAACATTACAAAATTCAAGGTCAGCTGAAGCGCAAGTGTATTTTTATCAAGCGTTTTACATTTACTTGTTTGGTCTTCAGTGTACATATAAAGGTGTTTATTATATTCAAATAAACACGTTAACTATAGAGCAAGAATAATACGTGCAAAATGTTGCAGGATAGAGAAGAATAACTTATACAAACAATATATTTTATTTTATATATTAATATCATAGAATATGCCAATATCTAGTATAGAGCATATTGCTTTGCACTAAAATGTAACTCTCTCAACAACTGTGGTGAAGAGGTGGTGAGTGCTACAAGTAAAAGCAGCAAATGACCAGCAGATGGAGCCACTGGCAGGCTCAGTCCATCTTTCAGCTAGGCAGGGATTTGACACACTGTTTTTAGGCATTTTTCTGTTCCTCTGGGTAATACAAGAATAAGAAAATGCAGCAGATATTAGGTTATTACAATCACTATATTAAGTGTCTATTAACTCTCCACATAGCAGTGGTTGCACTTTTCATCATTAAGAGCTGTATAGGTAGAGCTAGATAGCATTGTTTAAAAGGACTCAGATCTGCAGATGAGGCTCAAGGTTCAGTTCATAGTGCGAATGGTGATGCAGAAGGGCTGTTCCTGGCTGGAATACATGTCTGTAAATAAAAATATTTTTAAAATAACATATTCTTATATGCACACCAGTGTGCTACCATGGGAGAATTTTCTGCCATACATCTCAAAATCAGAATCAGAAAGGGTTTTATTGCCAAATGTTGAGCAGGTTTACAACATTAGGAAATTGCTGCGGTAATTAGTGCAAACATACTGTCATATAACGCTTAAATAGACATAAAAATAAGAATTAAAAGTGCTAAGTAGATCGATATATACATGAGTGCAGGTGGTGATCAGTGCCAAACATGGAATGATGCAGTGAACACAGTGTAGGATCATGTGTTAGTGGTGGGAACAGTCATACGGTTATTGTTCATGAGTCCAACAGCAGAGGGGAAGAAACTGTTCTTATGGCGAGAGGTTCTGGTGCGACTGGACCCTCCTGCCTGAGGGGAGCAGGTCAAACAGACTGTGTCCAGGGTGAGAAGGGTCAGCTGTGATCTGAGCTGCACGCCCCAGTGTCCTGGAGGTGTACAGGTCCTGCAGAGATGGAAGTCTGCAGCAAATCACCTTCTCAGCAGAGCGCACAACACGCTGCAGTCTCTGTTTGTCCCTGATAGTGGCTCCAGCGTACCACACGGTGATGGAGGAGGTGAGGATGGACTCAATGATTGCAGTGTAGAATTGCATCATTGTCCGTGTTGGCAGGTTGAATTTCTTCAGCTGCCTCAGGAAGTACATCCTTCCTCCCACTCCCACTTCAGGTCCTGGGTGATGGTGGTACCCAGGAAGCGAAATGAGTCCACAGAGGTGATGAGGGTGTCAGTCAGGATGATGGGGGGGAGTGGGGCTGTGTGCTTCCTGAAGTCCACAATAATCTCCACTGTCTTCTGGGCATTCAGCACCAGGTTGTTGTGGCTGCACCAGGACAACAGACGTTCAACCTCCCTCCTGTAGGCAGACTCATCCCCGTCTGAGATGAGTCCAATAATGGTGGTGTCATCTGCAAACTTGATTAGCTTGACAGACTGGTGGGTGGAGGTGCAGCAGTTAGTGTACAGGGAGAAGAGCAGAGGAGAAAGAACACAGCCCTGTGGGGAGCCGTTGCTGATGGTCCGGGAGTCCGAGACATTCTTTCCCAGCCTCACATGCTGCTTCCTGTCCGTCAGGAAGTCAGTGATCCACCGGCAGATGGGATCAGGCACATTCATCTGGGAAAGCTTGCCTTGGGGAAAATCTCCTCTGATATGTCTAAAAAATACTTTCCTCATTCAACCTGGTAAGTTTAGATTCATGTGCCTAGAAAAAGGTGTCAGTTTCCAGTGGTCACGATGAAAAATGTTAGATCTTTCATACTGCATACATGGCTCGCTCATTTCCTTTCCCTTTTCTTATTTTATTTTTAAATGTCTACTGTTTGTTTGTTTGTTATTTAATTTCTGGGTTATTTTATGAATATAATCCTTTGTTTGATTCATTGTTCGGGCCTCCTCGATTTTCCTCATCATGTCATAGTCCATTTAGAGAATGACAACATTTCAGATTGTCATTCAGGGTTAGAAAGAGAACAGGAAACAGATTTAGTGTATGAGCAAGTACTCCTTTGTGTTGCAGTTGTCTCCAGTGATTACTATTATGAGTGTTGCTGCCAGAATGTTTATTGTTTAGCCTTCATTAAATGTGGAGACACTCACCCGTCTTTCTTAGAAAAGACGAGTGTCTTCTCAGCTGTGTCATTTTTTCCCTTTTTTCTTTTTTGGCCTTTCTTGTTTTCGGAGTAATCCTTGGTGGCGATATCTGTTGGGTGTAGGTATTTCAGAGCTCCGGCTGTTGAGGTTTAACCTTTCAAAATGCCTCTAATCCAGCAAGCGCTAGAAGATTGGAATATAAAGCTCAGTTTAGGCAGGATCAGGGGAAGTTTGTAGATTGTGGCCAAAAGGATTAAAATTATACTCGCCTGCATACATCAAGTGGCTAAGTGGCAGATGTCTAGTTAATGGTGTTTTGAATATGGCAGCATCTGAAGGAAGTGTTTGCTGGTATTAGATGAGTCTATATTAGATACAAACTGCAGGAATGATGACTTATGCTGCATTATTCCTAGAAACAAGTGATCAGAAACATCTCAGTCCTTTCTTCTGATTAACCTCGTATTGTGGTTTATCCTTTAGTTTAGCTTTTACTAAATAAATACAGGACTTTTTTTGAAACATGTGCTTTCATTCATAGTTTGACCTCACTGACATCCCTGAAAGTGAATGGCAGAGAATGGCACCAAAAGGGCACTAGAGATATTATTTTATTAGCAGATATTATCACATGCTGTTCACGATTGTCTTGTTCAGGTATATATGAAGACAGCATGACCACCAGTGTTAAACATTTTCTACAAGGGCGGCAATGCAGTTGGTTGCTCCCAAGATAGTGTGAGATGAATATCTGCTTTTAAGGTTATTATGAGAATGAGAACCTCTTGAATTCTTGAATTTCTGATCTTAAGCATACTACAGGACATGAATAGAATAGTAATGATCTATAATAATATGTATATAACAATAATAATAATATGTTAATCTGCCTGTAGCAGACTGGTTCCTGCTATATATTAATGTGAAAAAAGGACAACTATGGAAAACATCCTGACTAAACATTCCCCTTCCACTCAAAAGTGGAAACTGCTTAAGGTGCAAGAAGATTAAAATTTCAGTTTTTGGAATTCAGGGTGGCATTTGATTGGTAAATAATATAAATTTCTTTTCCCCTGACACAAATGGACGGCTAAATCAAAACTGACACCCCGTGTGAAGATGAAAAGTGCCAGTGAGTGAAAGGAAGGGCAGTCCTTAAATAATGTTTGACAGAAAAATGAGTAAAGGACAAAATAACTCAAAAGGCAATCATTGGCGGGGATATGAAGTGAGCTGGGGAAAAGTGAGAAAAGAAATAAAAATAGAAATCTTAGTGATTCGAATCTAACTGGACAGAAATAGTTAATTTTGTATCTTTTTCATTCAGGAGTGTGAACAACACATTGTACATAACTGCTTTACATAAACTAACTCACAGAAAATATTGTGTTTTACAAAACTATAGTAGAATAACAAGCAATCAATGTTAAATTAGCATTAGAAATAGGTCTTGGTTTAGCAATGCCTGTCTTACAAAGATTGCTGTTTGATCCCTAGTTGAGTGCATGTTGCACAGAGAACAAAAACACCTCCCACCTCGACAAATATACAACCTAAAACATAAATGTTAAAATGCAATTATTGGCTATCAGTTTGGATATTATTCTGCACGGATTCATGCTTATTTTGAATGAAAGCATTTAATAAAGACTAATGTTACTATTTTAAATAACAGTAAACTGATCTTTTAGAGGGTGACTTTCTAAGCTTTTCTCCCAACTTAAAAAGGAACCATGTCGCTGCAAACTCTGCAGCTGTGTGACACGAGCTGATCCGTGACCTTTAAACCCTGTGGTAGTAAGCGGTTACAAAGAGCATTGTCTTTCAGGCATAGGCTACCCTTATAAACTTGCGTAACTGCAGGAGATACTGCACACTACCGTCGCTTTATGTTCAAAAGCAACAAACTACGCACTGTACGGGAACATTGTGACGTCAGATGAAATGCCTTTGCCCATGCTCGCGAGGACGAGGAAGGATCAGGCACACTGCAGCTGATGGATGTGTTGTAGTGATGTAATGTTGCCTGTTTGGTAACTACGGATGGCTGTTTGCGCCAGGCTCTGCGGAGTTGGTCAGTCTCGGAGGTGCCGAAGGCGACAGAGGCATAACCAGCAGGATCAAGGCAGCGATTCCGACATGGACGAGGAGGAAGAGGAGCGGATCGTGGGCAAAGGGAGATTCGACGCAGGTGCTTGCGGAGGCCCAGAGCGCGGCGTAGCAGCCACTGCAGGGCCGAGTGACGCTTGCGAATATGGCAGCGGTCGTGTCAACACAGGGGGCTTTCTGGATCGCACGAGCACGGGACCTCCACACCCCCAGTCCTTAGCGGAATTACCACCGGAGCTTTTAGTGGAAATATTCTCCTTGCTCCCAGGAACAACTCTATCAAATGTTGCCCTCGTTTGTAAGAAATTCAGACAACTCCTCAAGACGGAAACCATCTGGAGAAGGCGATGCATTGAAGGTAAATGTAGCAGCCCTGGACGTTTATTGCAATTTAAACATAGAGCGATAACGTAAGACCGAAATATAAAGCTCGGGTCTCTGATCAGAGTGTCCGAGCTTCTTTCTTGTCGTAAGAATTTATGTATCAGCTGATTTCGCGGAAACGAGTTCCCTTAAAAGCATTTCAATTGATCTCTGCGGGAAATATGAAGGAAATTACCCCACCATATCCCAGCTGCTGGCTCTGTAAACACAGCTGCTTAAGAATAGACCAAGGCCTGTGACTCTCATTAGGGCCATGTCAGCCATTCTGTCTGGCGGTTTAGACTTTTGATGCAGGCCCTGACCAAGCCCTCTGCGATTATCTTAGGTGACTGCAGATGACAGGGTTCAACAAAGGCGGTTCAGTCACAGCCCATGTAATCATGACGAGCATAAATTGGTAGAGCTGAAGATTCACTTCCGGGTTTCCCAGCTCATTTTCAGTGTTTTGAAACATGCAACGTGCAAAGTTTAAAAATTAATGGACAATAAAAGGCAATTGCAAATGATTAGAAAATTGCAAATTATAAAATAACCCTTTAAATCAGTTGGCTGATTAGGTAAAAAATGAGCCACTTAAACATATTTGTGCAATAAGCATTTATTATTTTCTGTCTTTTTTGGGGGGGTTGTGTTACCAATCTATTAACTAGGAAAATGCAATATAGTAGTGCATCAGTAATAGCCTAATTAAGTCTTAGATGAAACATGAGTGTTGGAATTTCAAAACATCAGCGCGTGAGATAACCTTCTAGTCCTGACTTGACACACATTCAGAATACCAGCTGTTTAAACTAGGAGACATTTTCTTAAATGTCTGGCAGAGAATAACAAAGAGAATAAACATGTCTGAACAGCATCAAAGACAGTAACATGATGACTTTTGGAAAGCGCTTTATAAGCAAGTCGTCATTTCAGTGGCCCTGAGAGACATTACTTGCTGCTCAATAAGAGCAATTAATATCAGCAACAGATGCCACCACTAGTACTTTTACTACACACATACACACATTCTCTTTTAAGGTCTTACTCTATTTATATCTCTCTTTAGTACAAACAGAATTTAGACATCAGAGCAATCTCCAAAAGCATTTCCACTGTCTTATTTTTGGATTTCTGTTGAAACTGTTGCTCATGCTTTTGGCTCTGTGTGCCTGAGAATTTGTGCAATTCAGATCTGGTTAGGTCTGTGTCTGATGACTGGGGTTTAACTTTGCCCTATAAAGTCTTTATTTCGCTGATCTCAATTTAAAGGGGAAAAGACACCAGGAATATCGGAATTGTTCTCACCTCACTGCTTTTTCTCAATTAGATAAATACCAAGGTTATTTATCACATTAATTATAAGTGTGATTATCTTTATAATCAAAGTCATAATCAAACTAAGTTTTGTTTTGTCTTGTTCTTTTTTTCCTTGCAGAGTTTGGCATGAGGGAGGATCTGAGGAAGGTGGAAGCACGAGGAGTGACTAGCCAGGATCTCTATGTTAAACGTTAGTTTCTCAGCTCTCATGTCACATATTCATCCTTCTTTGTCTAAATATAACACAATATAAGACATATAAGAGAAGTAAATACTTTGATAACATAATAAATTCGAACTAAGATAATCTATTTATCGATTTAGTGAAGCAGGTTCATTCCTGCTCGTTTAGGTTATTCTGTAAACGCGGACACTCATATTTTGATGGATTTAATATTTACTGGTTCAAAAAGGAAAAAAAAT